TCCAAAGGTCCAGTCAAAGGATACACATTGCAGAGTCAGTCGAAGAAGGCACAAAGCATGCATGTGACCCCTTCAAAAGAACACATATTTGGTTTAAAACGAAGAATACACAAAGGGCCCATTCGAAGGGCACTTTGATGGGAAACGCATATTGTCTAAAAAAGGGGTCTGGTCGAAGGATGAATCTAGTTGGTCAAAATGAAAAAATATATATATTCAAAGAGAACTTATGGTCAAAAAGCCAACACACTGCCAGTTTCAAGCCAACGTGCACAAGCATATTTCGTTGGCTAGGAAAGAGTTTTCGTTTGGGCTAGCTAAATAGGGGTTCAAACGAATAAGTTCCAGTGATGAGAACATGAGCCAGTCGAAGGGTGCACAAGAGGTACATTCGAATAAGCATGCAGAAGGCCCATTCGAAGGACACACCTTGGTAGCCCATTCGAAGATGGCACAAAGCGTACATAGAAAGTCCATTCAAAAGAGCCAGTCGAAGGAGGCAACTTGAGGCCAATCGAAGGGCAGGGATTAAAGGCATTCGAAAGAGTGAAGCATGTCTAGGTTCATTCAAATTAAAAAAGAGACAAGTTTCCTTGACTTTTGCAATGCTACAAAACATCATTCATGGCTTTGAAAATATTTGTTTATGGTTGTTTAAACCATTGCCTTCCTGTCCCCTTCATCCCCTCTATATAAAGAGACCACAAGTGTTGCATCACAGACACAGACAAATTGCCTATCAAAAGAGAACACTCCCACTACCATAGGAAACATATCAAAATTCTAACTAGTTTTGCAGGCACCCTCATTCCAGACGAATGCCATACTTGTGCTCCTGAGATTCCCAAGAATCTTCTCCAAGCCAAGCCACGCCCCGATTCATAAATCGAAGCATTTCCAGTTGGTAAGGATTTACTCAAGTCAAAAATGGATTTCTAAGCCCTTTAAATACATGTTGTTGGTATATTTATGCTGCTAATGCCATTTGGGTTTATCTGAGCATATCATACACAAGGTAACATGCAGGAATAAAATCACGCCATTGAAAGGCATGATCTGATTTGCCTTTTGAAACTCACGGTATAGCCAGTTTCAAGCCAAAATAAGCTTAGGCCTGAAGACAGGAGATTCGAATTAGGGATAAGGACCTGGGTTCGATACCCAGGTCCTGCATCTTTATTTTTGCCAACATTTGCCTTGCCGGTCCAATTCGAAAGCCAACTCCCTCCTTGGATCGAAAAAGACCACTCCCTCCTTAGATCGAAAAAGACCACTCCCTCCCTGGATCGAAGGACCACATTACTCACTGGATCCAAGGACAGACCTGGACTCTCTTCAACATTGGGCCTAGCAAAAATTCCAATCAGCACCCCTTTTTTTCTCTTTTGCATGCCTAGGCCCATTTGACATCTTTTCTTTTTGTAGTGTTTTAATTTCTTTTTTTATTCTGTTTTTTATTTATTTATTTAATTACACAAATAATCAAAAATCAGAAAAATATTAGTTTTAGTTTTTTTTATTAAACCAATTTTGTAAGTAAATTAATAAATAATTTTAACTATTTTCTTAATTTAAAATAAATTAGAATTTAGGTTTTAATTATTTTCTTTTCATAATAAAAAAAACAAAAAGAACTTAGACTATTTTCTTTAATTTAATTTTAATTATTTTCTTAAATCAAAAAAGAGAAATAGAAAAAGATTCTCTTATTTCATTTTTACTTACTAAGTTTTAGACGTACTTTTAGTCATTCGCGCGTTATTCATTTTCTTTCTTATTTTTATTGTATCTGTACATTAAATGTAATAGTTAATAGGATTTCACTTGCTTTCTTTATTTTTTCTACACTCTCAATTTTTTGAACAGTGTAAATCCCTCTCCCCAAAGCCATGTAATAATCTAGGTTTTTATCTTCCGCACTTTACTTTCTGTACAATATTACTACTAGTAACTAAGATTGTATGGCAAGACTGAAATTAAAGTGTTAGCAAACCTAAGACAAGATAAATACTTGAACTAAACACACTTGCACATATACACCTCTAGGTTACCCCACTTTCGTTGCCTTCAGAAATAAAACAGTCATGAGACACGAACGCTTTAGAAATGACCCATAAATCAAACGATCATAGTCCCTCGATGACCCTACAGTTTCCTTTCGGTAAATGATCTAGTCCCTAAACAAAATTTCTAAAACGTCTCCATAAGTTGCCTTCATGATTGTAACGTCCCTTCGAATGTCGCTCATACATCCAACGATAGGGCTACCTACTCACAAATAGTAGGATAGAATTTCCTAAAGGATATGAGAAAAAGAATGACCCTTTTCGAGTATAAAAGTATATAGATGTTAGAAGTTTGCTCAAAAACATTTTTGCACTTACACAAATACTACTTTTTAAAAACAATTTTCAAAACATTTGCTTTGTTGACACTCTTGAGGACTGATACAAGATTTAAACGCAAAGAAAATCGCCGCACTAAGGCATTCTCAAAACATTTTCAAACACACAAAGCACAAAAGTATTTCAAAAATGAGCAAACCTCTAAGAGCCCGTAGATAACTACGGATGGAAAGGGTGCTAACACCTTCCCTTTCCATAATCTACCCTCCTTACTCAGAAAATATCGAAAAGATCTTTTTCTGTTCTTTTCACCCTTTCCTTAATTTGTATAAAATAAAATTCGGTGGCAACTCTTGCTTACCGCAACATTTCAAATACAAAATGCAAAACTAGTATTAAACAGTCGGTTCTGCCACCGTATCACACCATGGCCTGATATAGGCCACATGGCGTGCATTAGCACGTATTTCGTGAGAAAGTTTCATATGGAGGTCAAGATCCTAAGGTTCTAAGGACAATGACAGACAAAAGGGGATCCCTGTAGGCTAGGGATCGTGATTCACAAAAGGGAACCCCTACAGGCTAGGGATTGTAACAGACACATGGAAGTCCTTACAGGCCTAAGGATTATAACATACTTAATGAAGTCCCTATGGACCTAAGGATTGTAATCGACAAACATAAACCCTTGTGTGCTTAGGATAGTGAATACCCTATACGGGTTTAGGGAATGTTAATACCCTTTATCAGTTATGGGATAGATATAAAGATGAGAATACCCTTACGGGTTAAGAGGATAGGATGTTGATAGAATAATCTATAGGAGAGCTCCTATAAAGGTTTTAAGTTTTTTTACCCTTCCCCATAAGATGGCTTCCTTAAGGGTATCATGGACTATACTAGAGGAAAAGGCACAAGAGCCTCCCTTAAGTGGAGCCTCATTATAAACCAAAACTTTTATCTCTAAGGTCATACCAGGTCTCGCCATGAGATTGTGATTAGGGGTTATACAAAGAGTCATAGGTTTCATTGCAAAGTCCTACCCATCAAGAGGATATCTCTTGAGACGTATTCCTTTCACGAAATTCCACCAACTCTAGGCGAAGTCGTCACATAAACTCATAGGGCTGATTATCCCCTTGGCTAATAAACGAACCTTCTTTCCAAGGGTTTTGAAAAATATTTTTTTTTTAAATAATAAAATCCCCCATCACAAATGAATATAGAATGATAGTAAAGAAGATAAAAAACAAATAAACCAAAATAATTAAATAAAAAACCTAAAAACCCTAAATCCAAAGAAAAGCTTCTAACCCTAGGGTTGGTCCCCAGTAGAGTCGCCAGCTGTTGTAACCGGTTTTAAAATGAGAGTCGTCACCCTTAATTTTTTATCCTAAGGAAGGGAATATAAAGGACAACCCTGATGTGGTCAGAGATACTAAGTTGTTGGACTCATTCTTAGATGAAGGGAAGGTGTTAGGCACCCCTCATCTACCTTGTTCACAAGGATACTAGGGTTTAGAAACGTAATCTTTAGGAAATAGGGTTTTAATTTTTATATGGGGAACTCGCCATGATTTTTTGTCATATGCCTACGTATCCTCTTATGAGGAATCAGAGTCACAATTCATAGTTCGCAGTGTTTGTTGGTGTTTTTTATATGTAGAATTGCTTTCGAATTATCCTTGAACCTTGTCTGAGTTATAATTTGAGTGGTCGTAGATGCAGTTCATAGTTAATTTCGAAAGTAGTTCTCCTTAATCCTTTTTCGAAAATAACCTTGTAGTTTTTGTTTATGTTATTAAAAAAATTGATTTGATGGTTGGTTAGCTATTTTAAGTATTTAATCGATAATGAGTATGGTAGGACACAAAGTGGAGAAAGTCTGATAAAGTCTTCCCGTAACGTGACCAGATATTGGTTGCATGTCGCTCATCATGAAGGATACGAGAGGGAGTCTGATAAAGTCTTTCTCATTATGTGGCCACATATTGGCCACGTATCGCTCATTGGTGAACTGCATGGTTTTTAATATCTTTGTGAACTGTTGAATTAATTTCATTTGAGAAATGTTTAAATTAATTATTGTGAAATCATAAGCGACAAAATTCAATAATTATTCACATCAAAGTATCATTGATAAATAAAATTCAATTAGAGGTCAGGATGCTAATTAGAATGAAGGTTAACATTAGTGGGAAAGAATTAGACACAAGGCCCAAATATCACTAACCCCTAATACTATTTTGTTTAGACTAAATAGAAATAACAAATATAATAAAAAAGGAACAAACATTAAAAGGCCGTACCAGGCCCAGCATAGTGAGGGCGCAACCTCCAATCACCCTTCCATCTTCTTATCATTTTCAATTAGTAAGGAGGTCTAATAAGATGCTGACACGTGGCATAAAAAGAAAAGAAAAAATAGCAAAAATATATCGGTGTATCAATACTTGACAAAAAAAATTAATAGTGAGGCCAAACTTTTCCATCTTCTCTCACGTGCTTTTTCTTCAGCTTTGTTTTTCTTTCATTCTTCATCTCAAATGACCCATGACCATTTTCTTCAAAACTTACAAAAACAACAAAACAAATTGAATCCAAAATCAAGAGAGAAATAACATGGTGTTGGTGTTGGGGGCGGATTCAACGCGGTTAAAGGTGGCGCAGACTTGCACGAAATGTCGGAGAGCGCGGAAGAGGCAGAGGCTTTGGTGTTTTCTGGAGGTTGTAACGCTGGAGGGTGGCCGGTGTGTGGTCGGAAGGCGCGTGCTCGGTGCTGCGTCTGATCACAGTTTTGGGCGTAGATCGGGGGCTTCGTGCAATGAGATCGACTGAGGGAGCATTGATGGCGGAGGTGTTTGAGACATACGGTCGTAGTTGTAAAAGGGTAGCGGTGGCGGATTTGAATGATGAGGAGGTATTGACTGGAAGGGAGGCATTCGCGGTGTTGTGCATGGCGAAGATCCAGCTTTGCTTTATTGCTCCTCACCTTTGTGAGGTTTGAGGACTTTGTGATGGTAAGCCTACTGGTTTTAAAATTACAGGTTTGGTATGATTTGTGTATGAGTTTTTGCCTGATTTGGTTTGAATTACTAAAACATATGCTGCAACAGGTTTGGTGCAAGGTTGATGAAGGATAGCATGTCGCGGGTTTTTGGTTGTTTGTTGTTTGAGATAGGCATCAGTTTCAGAAAACGAGGCGAGCAAGGTTTGGAAGTGGTATCGCGATGGAGGATTAGAGATATAAGAGCCATTGTTGATGGCGGTAAAGGTTGTGGTTGGTTGCGCTCTATTGTTCTTCTTCTACTTCTTTGAATGCTCCTTCTTCAACAGCAACCTGCAAGCATCCTTAAAACAACAGAATGAATGAAAGAGAAAGCTACACAATTGACGGTGATATCCGATTTATTCTGTTTTCTCCTTTGTTCTGTTTTTTTATACTGATCACAATTTTTTTATTAAAAAAGAAAAGATGTGATTGTGAAACTTTTAACAGGTTCATGTATAGAAAAGATAACATAAAGCTCGCATAATGTAGTAACGTAATGGAGAACCAGTATGAAAGGAAAAGTCATGTGTTGTTTTATTAAAACACCTCTAGTAGAGGACAATTGACACGATATCTCACAAGGAAGGTATAGCAAATATTTTGAAAGAAAACCAAGCTAAAAGAAAAGATTTACTTAAATGGAGAATTTGTGTGATCGTGAGAATTGTCAGTTATAAGAAAATATAAGATTTTTATAATTAGGACCCCATCAAATGTTCATCATTTGGTTTAAAAAGATTAAAGCAATTAGGATAAAATATTAAAGTGATATAGACACAAATAAAAAATTTGAAAATAAACTGGAGATCTCATAAGATAATCCTTGACCAAAATTATGTATGAGATTGTTGTTTGATACAGTCAACAATCCTAAAGCAAGAAGAATTGTAAGACCAACATAGTAAGTTTATGTGGATGATTGTTGATTTTTGAATGACAATTTAGGACAAATAAGAGTTATATTTAAAAACTTAGCAAGTAAGTTATCCAAAATGAATGAAAAGCACAAAGTTTGATTTCCAAAAAAGGAAAGAAAATTAGTAACAAAAAATAGGAAAAATGTTTAAAAGTGCGACATGCAAGATTCGAACCCACGACCTCATACTTGTAAGCTTAATTCCTTACTAATTGTGATATATTATTTATTCGAAATAAAAAGCCAATTAAAAGTACATGAAGATGAGCAGGTATTTGTTTATTCAAAAATACAAATGATATGAAATAAATTATTATATTTTTAAATAGGTTTGGAAGCGAATATTTATAAAAAAATCAGAGAATATTATAAAACCAATGTTGAAAATGTTTTTGACCGTAGAAATAAAGGGCAGACAAATTTAGGGTATGATAATGGCGACTTTAACTTTGCGAGATAAGTCAATTAATGACTTAATCTCAAATTTTTACCGCTACATTATCTACTGCTGAAACTGAGTACATTACAACTAGAAGTAGTTGTTCACAACTGATGTGGATGAAAAAAATATTGAAGGAATATAATGTCAAGCAAGATGTCATGGAATTCTATTGTGATAATCTGAGTGCTAACAAAATTTCAAAGAATCTTATTCAACATAGCAGGACCAAGCATATTGATATTCATCATCATTTTATCAGAGATCTTGTTGAAGATAAGGTGATTAATCTAGTGCATATAGCCACTGAGAAACAACTGGATGATAATTTCACCAAAGCTTTGGATGCAAGTCAGTTTGAAAAGCTTAGGGTGAGTTGGGAATTTGTGTCTTTAAGGAACCTTAGGTTCCATTAATTATGTGTTTCCATCTAAAGTTTTGTGTTTCCATCTGAGGTTTTATGCTTCCATCTGTGTTATTGCTTGTGTGTGCTTCCAACTTTAATTTTTACATTTACTCTATGTTTTTTCAATTTTTGGCTAAAAATAGGGAGTAAAGTGTTAAGTGTTTTTGTTTTGAGGAGGAGTTGTGTTGTGTGATGTCAGACCATAGATCTTGACATTTTTCTTCTAGAGTATTGAAAATGGTGATATGTAACTGCAATGTTTCTCTGATATATTTTTATGTGTGCAGTTTGTACAAAGTTTATATCTTTGCATGCGAAGAAACTAGAGAAAAATAAACAAAGAAGTCACCATTGAATGTTTATTTATTCCTCAAAAGGGAATGGAAAACATCGAAGAAAACACGAGAAGGGAGAAATTGAGTTCTTGCAACCGAGAGATCAGGTACAGAAGCCGATTACGCAAGGGAAAGATATTAGCACCATTCACGTTTGTGATACTCCACGGGATCCACTCTTGTTGTCTAATCAAAGAGTGTGTCTAAATCTAAAGCTAACAAGCTAAGGTGAAATGCATGAATGCAAAGTATATACAAAAAGGAAGGTTTTTATTAGTGTGCTTGTCGCGGTTACGAACCTTTGTGCCTACGTACACACTTCGTGCAATGAGAGATCAGGACACTCGTAGTTTACCTAAAAAGGTGTTTTGTTTTGTTTTGTGTTTTTTATGAATGATGTAAATTTCGCTCTCTACCGCAGCTCGACCTTTCGCTCTCTAATTTGTGTTGTCATAGGAAGGAATCAACATGTTCTTACCTGAAGAGGTTTTTTCAAAAGAAAAAGGCCCGAAGACGAATAATGTTACATTCGCACCTTAGCAATTGCCATATTGCAAAGAACAAATCTTTTTGTTAAAAGATTTTCAAAGAAAAACCCGAAGACAAAAACATGTTTGAATTTGTTTGTATTTTTTACCATGAAAAAGGATTTGGCGATTTGAACCACATTAAAGAATACGACATGAGAGACTTTGGATGGTCGAGTCAGACGCCTCGTACCAAATATGTTCCACACGTGTTAAGGCTCGTGACACATGGTTCACATCATTATTGTGAAGTGTTTTGAGAAGTTTGAAGAAGAAGAAGTTTTAGTTTTAGATATACATAAAAGGAATGAAAAAGTCTAAGGGGGACTATAGATCCTAATGTTGTCATGCAATGGTGGTCCTAAAATTATGATGAGAGAGAAACATTAACCTAAATTAGCATGCATGATTTACAATCCAAAGGTCTATCTCAATTAAAATCTCAACTAAGATTGAATCGAGAAATCTTATGAGAACATGGCATGTAACACAAAGCAAACAAACAAGAGTAAGTCTAAGATATTTAACAAAGCAACAAGATAACAATTGCACAAGTGTATATACAACAAGAAATCACCTACTTCACGATAGGTCTTTAAACAATTACATTATGCCACAAACATAGTTTCGCAATGCCTACAAGGGTAGGTCTTCAGTCATGCATCTCTATCATACTTCTCATGACATAAAAAACAATCAAACAATTAAGAAAATAAGAAGGTTTTTTGAAAAAGATGAGAAGTTTTTGAAAATTGAAGAAGAGTGTAAGGAGATGAAGAGACTATCCTATGTACAGAAATGTAAAAGGTAAAGGCTAAAGACTTCTGACCAAACGGGAGCCAACACCTTGGCAAATAAAGTCAATAAGAATTATCATCTTTTGGGTTAAAGCCACAAATAAAGAATAAACCAAGCAGATATCAAGTATCGTGTGAAAATAAATCACAAGCAAGATGTATCAGATAAACTTAAAGTGTCAGGTAAGCGCAAAGTTAGGTAAGCACACAGTCCAAGTATAGGATAAGAATCTTAACTCTTGTATCAGATGAAATATAGCACAACTAGACAAAACCAAACACACAAAGAAACTACACAACGTCTCAGATAAGGTATGTGAATAAACTATATGACCGAAATGAAGTGAATCGAGAGCCATTGAATATTGTGCTTTATTAAGTAATTTTAGAATAGATTCGTGTAGGAATCAATTCTAAGAGATCAAATAAAATATTTGTGTTCAAACGCGTTTGAAAATTAAATCGAATTCAAAATGCAAAATCGCAACACAGTGATGATAATTACAATATAACTTGAATTTATTTACAAGTAAATCAAATAAAATACAAAGCAAAAAGTATCGTGTCTAATTGTATTTAGATTATAAACATTAAACCAAAAAAAAAAAATATTAACAAAAATAAAAGACAAGTTTAGAGGTGCATAGTTTAAAATGGATGTAAACTAAAGTAATGTCCAAAGCCCAAATTAAATTCTAAAGTCCTGATCAACTATTAATAAAAAAACTAAATAAAAACCTAATAATTCAAAAATTTATAAAATATGTATATAACAAAATTAAAATAAAGGACATTCAGGAATCAAAACAGAGAGAGTATGTTGATGATAAAATAAGAAGATCTAAAAACTAACTATTATATATAAAAAATAAACTCTAAAATAACAAACTAAGTGAATTTTTGTGGTTTTAAATATAAAGTAAAAATGAAAAGGAATAGAAATTAGAAAATGAACAAGAAGAGAGACTTTACTATTTGCGGTCCAGGAAAACAGACGGAGGGAATAGCGCTGGGTGGCGGAATGTTGAAGTGTTAGGCGGAGGGAGGTCCGGCGGGTATGGTGATGACCGGAAGGAGAAGATGACCGGCAGGTGGTTCTATTAGTGATGATAGATGGCGGATTATTGGTCTGTAGAGTGGGTATATTATGTGGAGATGGAAGCAGACAAGACTTGCTGTTGGAAATTATAGAAGGGTGAACGTTGATGAGAGGAAGGTTTCGTGGAGTTTGATGGTGGTTGATGTAGGAGGTGGGTTTTAAGTGATTCCGGCGGAGGGAGGTGGCAGTCTCGGCGGAAAGGGATGGACGTTGAGGGGTGCGTCGGAATAACAACGTGATGGTGTATGATGAAGGGAGTATATGTTGAAGATGAAGGAATTGAGAGAGAGCTAGTATGCTTCTGTTTTCGTTTTCATTCAAGATCTGATATCAAATGTGCCTCTCCCATATAACTTCTATCTCAATCGTTAAATACTAAGAATATGG